CCCCCCCCCACACCACCATACCGCGCTCCTCGCTGGTCCGAGAGAGAAGAGAATACAAGACTACCCCCTTTCGGCTGAGACTGAGAGGTCTGTGTAGACAGACGTTAAGACTTGCTGTCCCGAAGAAGCGACTGCGGGCGCAACGCACTTCAGAAATCAGTGAAATGGATTTTGAACCTAGGGAAAGACTTAAGGTTTAGAAATGCTTTGCTCACCTTCGATTCCAGTTTTAATTATGTCTACACTTGTTTCCAGGTCCTATTTCTCCCCCGACGGTTTAGAGTACAACATGGGCCGAGTGCCGATCGGAGGAACCGACTTCTCCACGCGTGCCTACACCTACGCAGATAACTCGACGACCAAAACTCTCAGCAGCTTCGCGCTGCAGACGGAAGACTTTGTGTACAAGGTAGCGACAGGACTTTATCCACATCACCCACTCTACCACTCTAAACCCCCGGACCTTGCGATACGACCCTTCTCCTGCTCTCTGTTTAGATTCCCGTCATCAAACGCGCGACAAAGATGCGCAAAGAGGAACCCAACAACCGAGACGATCTGCTCCTCTTCAGCTCCATCTGGTCACCGCCCTCCTGGATGAAGACCAGTAACGACCTCTCCGGGTTCGGCCGCCTAAAGAAGGAGTTCTACCAGATGTACGCGGACTACTTCGTCAGGTCGGTCAAACTGGCACCTCTGTCTCCGCTTCCCTCTCACCCAAAACCAAACGATTGTCGGGGTTGATACATCGTACGTGTTCGCTTGATACCAGGTTCCTGGAGGCTTACGAGGCTCAAGGCATCTCGTTCCACTGCGTTTCTACCGGCAACGAGCCCCTGAACGGTATCGTGCCCTTCAAGTACTTTAACTCGCTGGGCTGGGTCCCTGGCGAGTTGAGCCAGTGGATACGAGACCACTTTGGACCGACCATCCGCAAGTCCAAGTTCAAAGATGTGAAACTGCTGGGCCACGATGACCAGAGGATCCTGCTGCCTTGGGAACTCAAATGGGTGCGAGTCCTTCCCGTCACAAGTGCCTCAAATGCTTTGTTGTGACAGGAGCTAACGTCGTCTCATCTTTCCCGCAGGAGCTCGCAGATAAAGTGACGAGTAGCTACATTGATATTATCGGCTATCACTGGTATCTCAATTTCATCACTCCCTCGAGCATTCTGGACTCTGTTCACAATCTGTGGCCCGACAAGCCCATCATAAACACGGAAGCTTGCAACGGTAACGAAAAAGGCGGAAAACTATCATAGAACATAGCAAACATCAATACTTCAATTATTTTAAATTTGACTTGGTTGTGGAACAGGGGACAAGCCGTGGCAGTTCACTCGGGTGGAGCCGGGCTCGTGGGGCAGAGGTGAGATGTACATGGCCGACATCATCGAAGTAAGTGCCGAACAAAGTCTTAGTGTGTCGAAGTAAGTGCAATAAGTAATGCTGTATGCGGGTGCTCAGGTGATGAACCACTGGACCACGGGCTGGATGGACTGGAACCTGGCGCTGAACCGGGAGGGTGGCCCGACCTGGGCTAAGAACTGGGTGGACGCGCCCATCATCGTGGACGCCAACCGAGGCGAGTTCTACAAGAGCCCCACCTACTACGCGCTGGCGCACGTCGCCAAGTTCGTGCCACGAAACTCGGTCCGGGTCTCGCTCCAGAGCGCAGGCGGCAACTTCCTCAGCGGCACGGTGCAGCACGTCGCCTTCCTCCGGCCAGACGGCGGCGTCGTCGTCGCCCTGGTCAACAAGTGAGGGATTGGATGATGGTGGTAGTCCCTCGTGTGTTGTCGACTTCCGCAAGGTAACGTTCTTGTGTTTGGCCCCGCAGGCACAACAGCGTCCACCGCGTCACCGTCCGGGACCCCAGTCGCGGCGAGGTTACCCTGTCCGTCCCGGCCAAGTCGTTCGTGACCGTCGTGTACTGGTAGCGAGATCGTGTACCAGCAATATGACACACGCTTTCATTTGGCCACCGAACTGAAACTAATTGTTGAGAAAATATCACAATTGGTGATAAATCTTGACGTAAATTTGAATCATCAGACGTTGTTGGAGTGGCGGCGTGATTGCACTGATAGGGAAAACCCATCTGGCTGCAGCGCCGGCGCCGCCCGGCCCAAGGACACCGAGATAACTGTTGGACTACCGTTGAGTATTCCAGTATTCGAGAGGTGAAGTAGGGGGTGAAAGAATCTGTGGAGAGGGGAGCGATGAAAGTGTTTTGTAATCCGTCCATCCAACTGTGGAGACTGTGCGTCATCAGGAGGATCTGAATTAAGCTAAGACATAACTGTAAAAATAACTATAATAATAAATGGCATGCTTAGTCGTAACTGTGAACACGGGCGACCACTATCGGTCGTACTCAGTTTAACATTAATTCCCCATTCCCTCCGGCCGTATGAAGACGCGTTAAAGCGGAATGGTCATGGGAAATTACTCTGAAACTTGCCGATATGGGAAAGGGGAAGAAAGGGGGGGGGGAGTAGAAGTCTGTGGGTGGAGGAAGAAAAGGAGACTGATGGGCGGGTGGAAACGCCACTCGACAGTCGACGAAACGTCAAGTCAAAACGGCGGGGTGTGAGATGGTGTGGTGTTGTGGAGCAGGATGGGCGCGGCGAGGTGGGGCGAGGTGGTGCCGGGCGGGGCGGGGCGGGGCGCATGCCCGCGTGGGCCGCGGATCTCCTCCCCGGCTCAAAGCTCCCGCAGCGACCGACCGATTCGAACCACGCGGCCGCAGCTCGCCGGGGGCCATGACGGCTGCCCCGCGGCTGAGATGACGACGCCGAAGTGCAGTCCATGTCGTCCTGGGACTGCTGGGCGCGCGGCTGGAGCCGGGTGCGCAGCGCGCTCAGCCACGCCGCGCTGCTGCTCGCGCTCGCCGCCTACACCGCGGCCGGCGGGCTGGTGAGTTCCTCCGAACCGTTTCAGTATTGTTTGTGCCCACTGAGTGAGCCCAGTTGCACGAAAATCAAAGAGACTTCTGTGGGAAGAAACTCTGGTTGATTGGGACAATTCGAAGATCCGCGACAGTTACACCAAGAAGTTGGTTGTCTCCATCCACTATCAGACACATTGCACCGATGACAACCAAGGGGTGGTTTTGTTGTTTCTAGTCAAGGCCCCATCGTGATAACCAGGTTCTAGTGATAGTTTTCGGATTTTCGATTGCAGCTACCAACTTTAGCCTATTCAACAGAGCATGAGACCAGCGACAAAGTACTCTGATTTCCCGTTCGTTTTCGATGTGGTACCATTTCCAATGTCAAAACGAACACGTTTCCGACAGCGTGCACCAGGCATTCCCACAGTTTTCGCACAAAGTCACGACTTTTGCTCCAAATAACCTTCTTGCATGTAAGCTGCCGCGCAGAAATGATGTAACTTTTGCCTAAAAGTTTCGGACAAACGAAGCCCGAGCATTCCGCAGAATACTTTACGAGCCCGCAGTCCGCGAAATCCCATCTCGAGGTCCGTCATTACGATTCCGCAGTCTGGCATGGTCCTGGTGATCAGTGGGAGAGAAGGGGGGGGGGGGAGGATGCAAAAGAAGAAACTACCGGCAATCACTGGCCCACCGTGTGCGCGTACGTGCAGCTGATTATGAGAATAATTGTTCTTAGAAAGAAATTGGAGACGGCGAGAGGGGACGGCGGCGCGGCAAGCTGCTGCCGTGTGTGGCTTTGCAGGACGTCAACGAGGTTATGTCTGACGTAGCCGCTAGCAGTTTTGCTAAACTAATGAAGGAAAGGAAAAGGGCGGGGCTGTAAACACGGCATGCGGGGAAGGAACGAAAGCAAGGACGGCGTGCCGCGAGGGGGGGAGGGGGGCTGCGGGGAGGTGGCGAGTAGTGTGGCTCGTGGCGATGGCGCCCACCCCGACAGCGCAGGGTAAACACAAGACAAGCCTTCCGAATCAGCGTCCGTCAAACGCTGCAAAAGCTGGACGCTAAAGAGTATAGGCCGCTCTGCGCGCGCGGGGGAGAGCCCAGGGCTGAGTGAGGAGAGGAGGCCAGAGTAGGCCCGCTCGCTCCACTCAAAGAGGGTCACGACCACGCCTAGGGTGGCTAGGCCGCCGGGGCGTTGCAATGGGGAGGGATCAAAGTACCTTTAACAATAAAAATGGGTCTGTTGTGTTTTCTCTTATTCTCTTTTCTTTTTAGCAGATGATACCTTACAACTTTACACTTACATATCTAAACATACATTAGCTATGTAAGGTGTCATTGCTTTAACTCTCGATTAAAAAAATATTAAAGAGAACCAGAAGAAAGCTCATATACGTATTGTGCTAGGCCTGCTAGGCGGGGTAGTCGTGAAGCGGCGTACATACGTCGCCGTCGCGTCAGCCACGCCTCGCCCTCTCCTCCATCGCACCGCTGGAGCCCCCGCACTCCCACCCCCCTTTCCCACAAGTGTAAATACAGAAATATAATAGACTGGAATAGAATATTTCTTGAGAAGGTATCATCTGCTTTCAAGATCCGTTTCTGGTCGGAACTTTTTTTTGGAGAGGGGGGGGGGTGGTATGGGGTGACTCAGCGTCTAAAAGTTTGCACAAAGTTATAATTTTAAAGGATTCAAGGGTGGCAAAATGCGATTATGAGCGCAAATTTGAAAAGATGACATTTGGTCATCGTGGGCGCATGTTGGTTACACTGGTAAAACAAAGGTAGGGTATCCTACCTTTAAAGGTGTTAAAGCTCCAAAGGCATTACAATTTATGTTTTTTCGAAATATTTCTTTCCCTAGGAACACAATATTTTCGCAATCTACGCAAAATTCCTCGTCAAACGAGCCTACATATGATGGGGTTCTGTTCAAAAATGGCATAGATTGATTTCATTTTCTTTTGTACTTTTTGACTTGCTTTTCATTTGCTGACCGCTTATCTGAACCCTATCACATGTAGGCTCGTTGGACACGAAATTTTGTGAGGAATGCGATTAATAAATCTCAAAATGTGATTGGTTTGCTCATATAGAAAATATTTTGAAGAAACTGAAAATATACTCTTTAGCACCCCTAAAAAGAGTTTAACACCCCTGGAAAGGTAGGACATCACACCTTTGTTTTTCCAGTGTAGGCAACAATCCGACACAAAATTTGTCCTGGTGGCCTGGCTTGAGGTTGACAGGCGTCACGGGGGGACGAGGGCTGTGGAGATGTGGCAGTGGTGGAAGTACAGGAGGGGTGAACACGGGGAGCAAGAGCCAGAGAAAAGAAAATACTTTGAAGTTAGCATTCAAAACATAAGGAAAATTGTCCTCTTATTTTTCGATGACCGAAGTTAAGGGCCGATGAAGCAAGTCCCCGGTGGCTGAAGCCCGGCACCCCCATGCCCTACTTCACGGCTGGCCTGCTGCTTTGCGACACAGACTATAGTCGTATACGAGGCAAAATCCTGTCGCTCAGACTAAAAATAATTGAGTGCACTCTGAATGCGTTATGGCCTGCAGCAGTTCGACGAGGCCGGGCGGGCTTAGTTCGGCCCAGCGCGGAGATAAAAATACACAGGAGTTTAGCAGGCAGAGGCAATATCGCGCGGCTCGATCCACCATGAAGTAAAAAGACTGGCAGTACTTACCCGAATCCTGCACTGTTAACGCCGTCCGTGGTCGCCTAGCTTGCCAAAATGTTGGCAGTCCTTTTTGATTGCCAAATTTTTGTCATCTTTTGGAGGCTGCCAATTTTTGTCATTTTTGCTTGCCAAATTTTGGTCGTCTTTTTGGAGGCTGCCAATTTTTGGCGTCCTTGCTTGCCAAAACTTGGCGCAGTGTTGCGGGATTGCATACCCGCTAGGGCTGCAGGGGCCATGGCGCCTTACGGGCTAACTGGGTAGGCAAACCCGCAACACTATTGCGCATTCTCAGTTACACCCGGTACACATGTTACTTAAAGTAATTTATACAAAACTGTTACGTAAAATAATTTGTATAACCGATGTAACAAACGCACACGACCGTAACAAAGAGCTTTTTATCATGTTACATAAAGTGATTTTCAGTGCGCGGCAGGGCACAGAGCACTGGAAGATGAACGAGCTGCAGCGCATCTCTTTAAGATTTTGTTGTTCGCCAACAGGCGCTCGTAAATCCCTCAACAAGGAGGCCTGCCTACGAGCTGCCGGCGCCTCGGCCCTCGGACGCCGGCTGTGGGTGCGCAGGGACGGCCAGACTCAAAGGGGAGGCGGCTCCATAGTATCGCACGCGTAAATATCAACGCAGTTATGCTTCCATGGCAGCAACGATATAGACTCAACATTTCTGCGACGTTGACCGTAACGAGGATTTTGCGACTCGATCCGCAAAAGCCGCGCCCCAGCCTCAGGCTGTTGTGCAATATCCATAATTTGATATCGCAAATCGATGTCGAACACGAATCGAACATCGACTCGATCTTGATAATATCGAGAACCATGGATTATGTTGCAGAAGTATTGAAACACGACGTATCGATCGCAAAATATCAAGGCATACCGACGATAGTACTTTCGAGGGCCCCGATCTCAAACGCATCGATATCGGGAGCATACATCGATAGCAAGGTGATATCGAATCGATATGGTATTGGGGGGCGGCAGGCCGAGGCGGTGTGTTATGACTAGTGGGTGACGGCACGCTGCTATTCCTGGCGGCAGTGGCGTCACGACTCAGGCGCGGGGTCGGCCGCCAGGCGTGCGCCCCTGCACTCCGCTGCTGCCTAACTCCCGGGCGCCCACGCCTAAGAGTCGAGGTTTTCTTATACTAAAGTCGAGTGCTCGATTTACTATCAGGGAAAAATTGGGAGGGTCTGACGAAATGACATAAGCACGTGATTTCTCAACGCTATTAATTATAAAAATATATTTGAAAAGGAACAGCCAGCATGGAAAGAAACAGATCAACGCAACACCATGACACGATACAAATACACAAATTGAGTCATGTTTCATGAAAGTGAAGATTTATGCTCTTCATCTTTTGCTTTTGACTTGTGGAATAAGGACCAGGAACAGATAACCTAAATTACGACATATAGATTTATGACGCTATGAACTATAAAAAGAAAAAAAAAAGTACTGTAGAGCCAACTGCTGGGTGGAATAATGTAACAGCAGGGCACAGACGCCCATTACATTAGGGGCAGAGTCAAATTGCAGTATGGTTTGCTGGCCCGCTAGATTCGACCATTCGACGGTCACTTAAATGGTTTTTCTATGTACACTCGTAAATGTTTCAGCAAAGTAGGGGCACAGGAGAAACTCTTGTGACAGACGGTGCACTCAAACGGCTGCCTCCCGATGTGGTCTTAAAATGTCTTGCTGAGCTGCTAGAATCACTGAATTTCTCAGAGCATTCAAATGATTTCTCACCGGTGTGTTCGCAGATGGTCTCGTAGTTTGCTAGATTGCGAGAAACTCTTGTGACATACGATGCAATCAAATGGTTTCTCACCAGTGTGAGTTCGCAGATGGA